CCAATAATCATGCAATTAAATGAGTTAAATAAAGCATGCATAGAGTGTAGAGGAAAAACCCTAACAATTAATGAAGTAAAACATATATAATCAAGAATCAATTCAATTCATGAGAGTTTACAAAGGTTACATCAATCCCCAACAACAATGGAGGTTTAGTTCACCATAGACATGGTGAAACTAGATGAACAATGGAATGAAAGTATGGAAGAGATAGAAAAACCCTAGAAAGAGAAGAGGAGAGCTATCACCATCCCCAAATCTACCCCTAAGGGGTGAAAAGTGTGTTTTTGTGCTCAAGCCATCAAAAGATACATTCCCTAGGACGTGCAAGTCCTTAAATAAACCATAAAAATAACAAAAAACGAGTCTAAGCCCAAAATATATCAGAAAAATAACATAAAACGGGTCCAAGCCCACTTTGCTAGTGCTGAATGCCCAAAAATGCCGCCCGGCGGTGACTTCGACACTCAAATGACGCTCAACGATGGCGCTCGGGCGCAAAACAATGCTTTCAAAACCAAAATGGTGCTCAGCGGTGGCGCTCAACGCAACTTTTCTGCACTCTGGTTGACTGGTGACTTTTTTGCATTCTGATTGACTTTTCTGCATTCTGGTTGACTTTTTTGCATTCCAACCATTCGGTACTTTAACTCTTTTTTCAAATCATTCCAATAGTCTACAAAATCAATGGAATCTAGCACAAAAATATTAAATTCACGTTCAACTCTCTTATTCACAAAACTAAAGCAAAAACATGAGTTAAAGCAAGTTTCTAAGTTAGAAATGGTGTTTTTAATATCACAATTAAGTATAAAAATAATAGTTTTTCAACCGTTATCACAAGACCGTCTAACACCTTCATGTTTTGAAGTTTAACAAACAATGATGAACGAAATGAGTATTTAACAAAGTATTATCTTTGCAAAAATAATATCATTCAATAAAAAAGATCATATGAAACAAGCGCTATAGCATCTGAATAAACAAAGAAAAGTTTCAATAAATGCACTAGGACCAAACGATCCTATTGACAATTACAAAGAAAAGTTTTAATAAACGCGCTAGGATCAAACGATCCTATTGCCAGTAGACACACTACTACTAAATGATTTATTATGAAAGGATCACTAGACTAAACGATATCCTCGAAAAGGCGACAATGTGCTATATGATAGTTTTGATAAACAATGCAATAATGTGCCACACGCTCCTACTATACCTTGCTAAACAATGTAATAATGTGCTACATGATGTTTTTGGTAAATGCGTTAAAGCTATAAACAACGCACCAAGAGCGATGTATTGAATAACAATTTCCTAAACGTGCTTTTTGTACAAAAAAATATCACTAAACGATGTGTTGTTAGTAAATGTCTTTTAAAAGGCTTTACGATACCTTTATATTAAACGAAATTTTCATCCAACGATGTAAGCTTTATGAATCAATACTTGATATCTTTTCAATAATGCTTAAACAATTTACATGTATAGAAAAATTGACAAAGTTGTTTTGAACACGCAATACAAAGCATTAAATGCACAATATTTCAAATAACAAAAGTAAATAAGAAAAAGGACATATTTGCCAACATGCATTTCTACTCTACTTTGCGCATATGCCTATTGCACATATTCACCTACTTCATCATGAACAAGTCAGAAGTGGACATTAGAAACAAAGAAGACATTCATGTATTGTTCTCTTCATCAAAAGTTGTGCTAAAGAATTCATACAACCTACTTTGGTTATATTACTGCAAAAAGCATGTTTGCTCTAACACGTTGACTTTAATTTATGGCTCCTACCTACAAAAGGGCTGCGATGATTTGAAGATTTAAGACAAGCATTGTCTAACTGATCTTTTTCCATGAAGCATGTATATGGAAGATCAATTGGAAAGAAGATCATGAGAATAAGAACGCAAATAATGAAAAGATAATCTAGATAGCTATACTCACTCTCGTGCAAGTACAAGAACAAAAACTCTAAGAATACCTCTCAAGCTTTATAGATTCATAAGCTTACATCTATAAGAAGAGAGAAAATCCTACAAGGTCTATTAGATTGAGTTGTATTGTAGAAACATCCTTTTTGTGAGAGTTATCATATAAGACTTGTAAACAATTTGATTGATTGTACATTCTTAAGAGAATTCAACTACTTGGTGGTTAGCTTAGTTAAGTTAAATGACTACTAGATAGTTGTCTAGGGGAAACCAAGAGTGGATAAACTCATTTCTAGTCAGTGTAACATGTGTTACCAGGATTGACTAGTGTAACAAAGAATGGTGCTAATACTCAATTATAGTCATCATAATATGTGTTACCAGGATTGACTAGTGTAACTAGGAGTGGTGCTAATACTTAGTTGTAATCTTGTTGATATTATAGTGGAACCCTCTAAGAGGTCTTAGAGGACAACTGGACAAAGCTCAGTTGAGCAAACCAATATAAAATAATTGTGTGTTTATTGTTTTAGCTTTATAAAACATCTTATAAACACTATAGTTGCTTACGAAGTTAACCACTGATAAACACTCTTATCATCAAACGCTATTTTCCTTAAGAGTTGTTTTTCTTAAACGCTGTAGTAATTTTGCTAAACGCTTGAAAAACACTTTATCTTTGAAAGTTGTTGTTTGAACAATGCCTTATAAATCAAGTGCCTCACAACCTGTGTAGATCGTCCAACCATCACCAAGGTTGTTAAACGTCCATCTACGAAAAAGTTTTCCATAGCACTATTCAACCCCCTTGGGGGTCTATCATTTCAGTGTCTCCAATCTCGTTGTTCAGGTTTTTCTTTGTCCTTATTGTCTATATCTTTGTCTCAGCGGCCTTTCCTTTTGTCATAGTATCTTCCAAGCTCACCACGTGAGCTTCCAACATCATCTCGTGTGATAAAACACCTAAGATGGTTAACCTGAATGGACTCCCATATCTTATCTTTGAGTGAAACACTCTCAAAGTGATGTGAGCATAGTTGTAGTGGAATTGACATTGCTTTTTCATATCAACATTCGATTGTGTTTGTGACTTCTTGAGAGGTAGTATGAGATTTTCCTATAATGCTTCATCCAGCACGGAAGATCTTGAAGCATTGAGAGGGATGTAACGCAAGAGCCGAGTAGGTTTAGGATTTTTTATCCTAAAGGCACATTTACCTCCATAATATCGGTCAGAGGTATTATTTTTAGTATGCATTATCTCTACTCTCAGCTTGTTTTGTTATCTCCCTTAACTCTTTTAGTTGCATGAACTTGTCATCACATTGCCTCAACTTGTCTAAGTCGTCAATTGGAGTCATGCATAAGTCATCAGAAAAGGGTCATATCTTAAGTGTCGTGACCATGTGGTGTGGAGCTACCTCAAGGTTAGGATTCCTGATATTTAGAGCAACCTTGCCAAATTGCTCCATGAAGGAACGTAAAAACTCAACCTTCTCCTACTTTATATTCACAAGTGTCGAAGAGATAAAATGGTGTGGTTGGCTGGTGGCAAAATGTGTTTCAAAACACAATGCCAAGGTATTGAAGGTTGCTCTAAATATAATTGAAGGTTAAACCAATTGACGGTTGCTCCCTTAGAGTTGAAGGAAAAACTCTGTATATAATTACGTCATTAGTCATGTACAAGCTTACTTGTGTGACATAAACATCAATTGGGATGGTGCCGACTTCATCTCGTCATAAACGAGGTACTCACTATGCCTCATGTTTTGGTATTGTTGTTAGCGCTTCCTTCCTCGACCTCTAGTGTCGTTCTCTACACAAAGGGTGTGTCTTTGGGTTCTTTTTTTCCTTCCCCTTTTTGCCTTCTTCTACTTTCCTTTTCAGCCTAACATTTCTTGCCTCAAGGCATCCATTTCCTTGTCGTTTATTTTCTTAAACATAGCAAACTCTTGGTGCATTTTCACTTGCATCTCTAACATGGCAGCCATGTTAGTCGAAGAAGGTCCTTCTTCTCTTGCTCTAGCCATCCCGCTCCTTGTAGACACCATAAATCGTTCTCTGCAAAATATATATCCCAATGCCACAGTTGACACTAAAATGTTCATACAAGACTAAATATACCTTGTAATCCAAGCTACAACTTCACACCTAAAAGTCAGGATATCTTAGGTACTTGTCTGTCCAAAAGTCGAAATGGGATGTGTCTATAGAAGTCACTTTTACACTCAAGTCAGCCAAGTGCATCAAACAATATTAAATGTGATAATAATGCAATGTAATAATTTATCTCGTGTACTATGTTATTTATACTATGTTTATGGCTTTTTACCTAGGTGGGCCTAATTTACGTGATTAATTACATTGATTAACTTTGTCTAATTCTCTACTAATATGTTTTAACCTTTGTTTTAACTTAATATTATTTTATCCATATTAAAAACATAACCAATATGATATCGCTCGACCGGATATGTTTAGGCCACTTAGTCCAGTTGCATTTTACATGTGAATCTATCTTAATATGCCAGATATAGACATGTGAAAGGGTACATGTAAGATATAATGATTTAGGTGGGATGTAATGTACTTATTTTCATAATGAATAAAGTTGAAAGTCTCAGTGGAGAAAACATGTGTTTAGAGATAAAACCTGCTTCATAAATATAAAATTAAAAAAGAAAGGTAGAACCTTAATAAATGAATAAGGTTCTTTAATATGTTTGGCTGGAAGAGATTAACATCAAATGTTCTTATCGAAAAAAATAAGAGCATATAAAGGAAAATTAAGTTTAAGATTGAATTGAAATAAATCTTCTAAATTAGTATGGCCTTATCTTATAGTCAATTATGTTAGTTTTTATAGTATGTAATCGTTGTTGACAACTTGTACACATATATCGGAGATGTTAAGTTATTGTGTAAGATTTTATCTCTTAAACAAAATTAATGATTTTAATGTATAAGAGAATAATTTATTTACAAGATATCTTTGATCTATGTAGTTAAGTATAAAAATTATGTTTTTTAATCAAATGATCGCGTGACTCTTACCAATGTTTTCAGAACAGAAGAGAATGCACAATTCTCATTTAAGTCTAATTTGTGCTGATGACATGCGTCCCATTTGCTGCCATTTTTTAATTCCAACTTATCAGATTTGGTCATTTTGTGATGTTTCATTGGATTACTACAAGAATATTTTCAATTTATAATGAGATATTATTGCACCCTTTACTCAACAAGAATGATTATATTGTCTAAAAGGGTAACAGAAACAAAAAAGTTGAGTCATGGCAAGAATCTTTAATGCCAAATTCCCAAAACCACAGAGATAATGAAAAGCAATAGAAGTGTCCCATTTCCACCTGGAATAATTGATTGCCTGCAAAGTGATAAAATTACTGTTAGAAGCCAATGATCAAAGCCTTTTCCTTCCCAGCACCAAAGCATTGGGAAATCAATAAATTGAGTAAAAGGGTTATTAATAAATTGGGAAATCAATTGGTTAAAGCCAAAATGCTGCATATGCAACACTTATGATAATTCTTATACTGTAATATACTATAGTCTCTGTTTTATGCAGGGTATGAATCACATCAGGCTAAAATTAATCGTGTTCTAGCACAAGTTTATGCTATTTCTTATATTGACTACATAATTACAAGTATCTTAAAATGTATAGGATAACAGAACCTGCTATTTCTGTGAGTGTCCAAACATACAGCTTGGCTTTCTTTGGAATGCTTAGTTCTGTTATGTGAAACATTTAACAGCTTTACATACCTGATTTTCTTCTTGGATTGTTGCATGTAAGCCATCACAGGAGGAATGATGCCAAACAGAAAGCAATTGGCATATACCCCAGCAAAATCAAGGGCAGTTGAAAAAGTAGAGCGAAAAAATGAAGCTATCAGCACTGAGAAACCTAGGAGGGAGAGTGTTATAAGAACTTTAACTGGATCATAAGTTTTCTCATTTGATCTCGTTTTAAGTCCAACCATATTCTCATCTCTTGAACCTTTGAAGCAAACCTTCCCTGAATTACCAATACAAGACCCAACTGAATAAAAGGCTAATCCAACTCTTCCATTAGTACTATTATGCTCATTGCAAACTTTGGCACTTCCTGATACCAACTCCAAAGTGTCAAGAAGCTGTTTGGGCAAGCTCACAGCATATCCTATCAAGCTAGTTGCCAAAGCAGAGAAGGCAAAGCCTTGAACAGCTGATAAAGCAGATGGATTCACAGAAAGCAAAAGGGATATGGGGTCAGCAGAAGTGGTTGGTGTGCTGCTATTAGTCCCAGCAAGCCCCAACACAATCAAATTCCATGACAAAACCATGACCAAAGGAACTGCCCCACCAATTAGTATTGCTTTCCTAGCCTCATGTAGAGTGTTCCCAGCAACCTTGCATATAAAAGGAGTGATGACATGAAACCCTAATGTGAGAACAGCCACAGGTATAATAGGAAGTATTGAAGAAAGTTTCCATGAGGCTACAGCAACTGAGTTTATTATGTTAGCTCTTGCCACAGATATTCCAATAGCAACAAGTCCAGTTATGGAGAAAAGCATGAGGAAGCACAAAAGGCGGTTTGCAACATCAATGGTGTTAAATGGGAAAAAGGCAATCAATGTTCCAACAAGAAGGGGAAACAAGGCATGAACAACCAAAACATTAGCTTGTGAAAACCATGGAGAGAAAATGGATCCAATACCAGCAACACAAGCCACAAGCAAGGAAAAAGACAAGCTGGAGTAAACCACAGCAACAAATGCACCAAAACCAGTACCCAAGGTGTTTGTTGCAAGTCTTGTGAAGCTCACCTCTTCAACCCCATCTTCCTCCATGAAATCAAATCAGAGTTCAGCAACAATCATGATTGAGGAAATGACATAGAGCCAGGAGGCAAGAATTATGATTGTTGAAGGAAATGGACCAGATTTAATGGTCAAAGCAGGCAAACCCAGCATTCCAGGACCCACGGCAGTACCAACGATCAAACCAACAGCACCCCAGAAGCTCTTCCCCTTAGAAGCTCCATCAGAAATCTCATCCTTGTTGTTAACAATGGTTGCATCATTTTCAGATATTGCTTTGCAGGGTGCAAAGTTTGTGGTCCGAGGAGGATTGGATCCATTGGTTACGAACAAAGGAGCTATAACGGTTCTGTAACTAGTTCGGAGATGGGTTCTAAGTCCAGCAAAATGCACTTTGGCATTGATTTTTGGACATGTCAAAGGTTTGTAGTTATATCTGAATAGTGTCTGGGAGAGTACCATGTGGTTGGAATGACTCTAGCACACAACTCTGATGTCGAATAATGTTATATGTAGTCCCTAAAGGACTAAACCCTGGTCAACACAATGAACATTAAATAATTATAATTAGTAATCAAATTTACTCTTACAATAATTTTTAAGATTCATATAGTCTTTGATATTATCTCCCTCACAACTTCTAACTATGTTTTGTTCTTTTGAGGTGATAGGGCTAAAAGCCCAAGAAGCACTATTTTATAAGTTCTAGGAAATTACTTTTTGCACTCCATGTTTCTTTCTGTCTATGTTTATGTTTGGATTATGGAATTAGAAATATGTTATGGATTACGTAATTTCAATCAAATTGATTCACACGCGCAAGGGTGCCGAAACTCTATATTTTAAAAGTAAAGAGAAATGTATAATATATTACCTACAATAATTCAACATTTTAACTTCAAACAAAGTCACATAGCAAACTGTGATAATAAATATAATGATATACTAATACTAAATTGAATTAAGTTGAATAAGTTACAAAACTATACATAAATGCGTAAAAATATAATGCCTAAAATGAAAACTTTTGAAAAAATAAGTTGATTTCTTCAAATGATTTAAGCCACTAATATTATAGGATTAATGGAGGGAAAAAATTACATTTGGTATATAGAAAGTTCACTTCTCAACTCAAGTGTTGGTTATGAGAATATTCAAAAAGAATTTGATAGCGAAATAATCTTATCAAGAATTTTAAAAGTTCAAATAGCATTAGTATTCTAAATCACTTGTGTAAGAAAAACAATTTAAAATTATTTTCTATATTGATTCTTTATACGGCCAATATAAAAAAAATTTCTCGTCAAGAATTTCAAAATAATATACATTTTAAATCTATTAATAAAGGAGACCCCATATTTAATAGGAAGGAAGATACACCTTAATAATGCAAATTATATATATATATATATATATATATATATATATATATATATATATATATATATATATATATATATATATATATATATATATATGTGTGTGTGTGTGTGTATGTATGTATAAGTTTATAGTTTGTCAATTAAATCTTAGTCACCCTATGTAAATTAGTTTTTAGTTAAAAAGTCGTATACATGGAAAATGTTGACCCTGTATCAGTGTCATTTGCTCGTCAAATGAAGAATTGGATCTCAGTCACTATAAGGATTTTATAACCACTGTTTAACAGTTATTAATTGTGTCACTGATTATAGTTTTAACTTTAAACCAATGTCTAACTTGATTGATGTGATCCATTTTTAATAAAATAAATCTCTTCCTTTTTCTTCAAATAAATTACATCAATATTTATATTTATATAGTAAAGAATTAATGCTTTTATTGAAAAATAAATTTACTTATAGAGTGATAAACAATTGGACAATCTTTTGATTCGAACCAGTATGAATCTTCTCATCCTTACTCTATTTTTCTCATTCACGTCGAAGAAATTTTTAAAAAGGAAAACGAATTTTTAATTTGAATCAATTCACCCTTCCTTCTTGGTTTTGTTTGAACATGCTCTTAAAAATTCCGCTGTGTGATATTGATTCCAACAATTGGTTGAAGTACTTGAAAAATATTCTAAGGAGGGTTGAATAGTGTTAATGAAAAAAAAAATTCACAACTCTTCTGATATAGCATGTAATAGAGCTTTGATTATATCTTATGAAAGGTTAGATGCTCGACCTAATAAGAGTTGTAAACGGATTGTTGCTTTTTATGTGCTACTTAGAATGTACACTGCAGAGTTTTATAATAACTTCCTTAGTTGAATAGTAATCATTTAGCTTGGAGAGTGCTTATATTTGAAAATAGAAACAGAGTTGCAGGTTTTTATAAGAAAAGTGTTTAGGTAAGAGAAGAGATAAATGCACATTTATTTTTATATTGGTTTACTCCAATTGAGCTACAACTAGTCTCCTACGCACAGGGTTTCACAATAATCTCCGCAAGATTACAACTAAGTATTCTCACCACTGTTGGTCTGAGTATTCGCACCACTCCTAGTCTTTGAGTGAAGGTGCAAGAAGAACACTAGAAGGAGGGGGGTTGAATAATGTTTTTGTAACTTTGTCTCGACTTGAAACAGATCATGATGTACACAACACTTAGTGATTTGGTTGAACCTTTACATGACCAACTCAACACGTCCAAGTTTGAATATAGCAGTGACCTTAGACGAAGTGACACATATTGTTAAAGAGAGAAAGCATAAGAGACGTTAACTAAACTATATCGTTTATTAACAGACTAAAACACACAAAATCTTTTTTATTAGTTTACCAGTTAAGGTTACGTCCAATTCTCCTCTAAGTTAACTTAGAGGGTTCCATTAGATATTCAATGAAGTACATTTGAGTTTAACTCACTACTTATTGCATAGTATTATTCACCACTCCTAGTATTCGTAGATGCTCCTAATGCAACTGAGAAACCTCGTCTAATTTATTTTCCCCCACTTCTGGTTACGTAGTATTATTCACCACTCATGGTATCCCTAGACGCTTCCAGTGCAACTGAGAAACATCGTCTAGTTTAGTTCCCCCACTTCTAGTTGCGTAGTATTATTCACCACTCTCAATATCCCTAATCAGCGAATAACCTTCAATTACCCTAAATCAGTTGAGTATTCGCACCACTCCTGGTACTCAGCAACTTTGTCGAGATTTCCTTGAGTATTCGTACCACTCTTGGTACTCAACAACTCTACCAAGATTTCCTTGAGTATTCGCACCACTCATGGTACTCAGCAACCCTGCCAAGATTTCCTTGAGTATTTGCACCACTCTTGGTACTCAGCAACTTTGTCGAGATTTCCTTGAGTATTCGCACCCCTCCTGGTATCGCTAGGCAACCTGGTATCCATGATATCGCCTAGTTGAGTTTCATCCACTCTTGGTTTTGTAGTATTCTTCACCAATTATGGTATCCTTGATCAACCAATAACTTTCAGTTACCCTGGATTAGTTGAGTAGTCAGACCACTCCTAGTACTAGATGACATCGCCTAGATGTCGTTATCCTTTTATAGTTAAATTGTAAGTGTTTTATTCTCTCCAGAATTGCAATCATAGATTGCTTACAAGTTCTTCAGACTAGAATTGTTACAGAGAGGATATGTTGACTATACAATATAGTCTAAACACTCGCATGTGTTTCTCTCATCTCTCTCTTTTTCTCACCTTACATAAGTAAGCATTTAATACAATGAAGTAGTAGAGGGATGTTTTACTTTGGTTTTTTCCTTTTTCTCTCTTGTTACAAGCACAAGTAAAATATTACAATGAAGTTTCTTCTGTATTTCACTCTTTCACTCTCTTTTCTTTCTTCAAGTGGATATTCTGATGAAGCTTGAGAGTGTTCTTCTTTTCTTGAGATCTTCTTCTTTTTTTCATTCCTTTACGGAGAAATTTAGCTTTTGTATCTTAAAGAGATTTCCTTGCTCAACGGATGATGAAACATCTTTATATCTTCATATTTTATCTCCACTTCATCATCATCTTCTTCTTTCTTCTTGTATTTTGTTTATACACCTTGATGATATAGTTATTGTGATGATGCTTATCTTTAGATTTGATAATATGACCTTTTTTATGAAGCTTATCTAGATATTTGTTTTCTTCTGGCTATTGGTGTAGGTGTCATTCATAGGATGGTGTTCTTGGTCAGAGTAGACTTTCTTTTCATAACTTTTATCAAAAGTAGTCTTGACTTATCTTTTGATAATCTGATCAGTGGTCCTTTTTGTCTTTTTCTCAACGTTCATTTTGGTGCTTATAAGATGAATGTTTGTAGTAATTGTCCTGCACAAGATAAAGGCATGTATAGAAGGTTTCTAAGTTTCTTAATGTTTTTGTGTTTATGAGATTAGTTGATATTGTTTAGTTTGTAAGAGACTTCTCTGTTGGTGTTTTACTTATTGATTTCATGATTTATTTTGACATAGACATTATGTCACAGTTTTCTAGAGGAAGAATGGTGAATGCCTTTCCTGTTACCTATTACATATCTTATTAGGTTTTGGTGTACTAACAATTTCATCAGATATCATTTTTGTTGTTTTTGAATTCAGAAAAACAAAGTGTTATTTTATTTCCTACCGTCAGGTAGTTTTTGCAAATAAGCTATTTTCTAAAGATACCAAGCATTGTGTAAAGACTTTATCGTTGGACGAAGAATTGTTTAAGCTCATGGTATCCTTTAGTCAAGTAAACACTTTCTTTTGGTTTTGTCTCATTTTAGACATATGGCGTTTAACTTGTTTAAGCTTTCTTTTTATATTTTAATATTGGTTTAATAGGTTTGGAGGTCCCTATATTTGCGGGTTTGTTTCAATTGGGTCCTCCAATTTTGGAAGTGATCAATTGGGTCCCTAATTTGGTCAATTTGATTCAATGATACCTTTTTCGTTAAATGCAGTTAACGACGTTAACTTTTTTAACAGGTGGCAAGCTGAGGCATCCAGGTGACATCGTTTGTGCTGTATAGGTGTATTTTTAACATTTTTAAATTATTGGCAGTTGCAGAGTCAGCATTAATGCTCGCCGCCCTAAACGTGGTCGTCACAGGCTGCTGCTCCATCAATTCCGCCGCAGCCGCATGCGGAAAATTGAACATCTCCGACAACATCCCGGTAGTCTCGTACACTGGTTCCTCTTCTTCTATCCCTACCAATGGCGCTGCCTCTAACCCTCCTTGCAACCTTACTTTGTCCCTCCGGATCTGCTGCTGTGGACTCACCCTTCCTCTCTCCAACCCATTCGGGAAGCTGAAGATTCTTGGTTGAAAATCTTGGGACATAGAATTGCAATAATTAATCCAAGATCGAAAAGATAACCAATGGTGTGCAGTACTAGTCTCCTCGATGAATGTAACGGCGTTCTTATTCCCATGCTAAAACCATCATCTTTATCTCTTTTCTCTGGCCAGCGAGTACCAACAAAAATAACTAAACCCTCCTTAGTAGCTTTATCCTGGTTGCTTCTGTCCAATGGTTGAATTATTGATCAGTAATAAGAATA